ATCAAATGACATGTTGCAATTAAGATGCCTGTGCTACGTGAGCACCCAGACACAAGCTGGCCTTCTATTAGGAGGTGGCAGGAACAACTGTTCTGCTCTTCCCCCACCGCCCACTCCCTCTGTGCTCCTGGCATTGTGTATTGTGACTCTATTCATGAGCTACTTGCTTGATGACAGTCAGTCTGTGTAACATACACAGTGACATGTATTAAGGGTAGTGCAGATCTGCACTCTCTTGAGCTTCATGATGCACAAAGGGGTGTAATCACCAGGGACTTGGTGAAGAGTCTAGAAACAGACCTGCCACTTCTATTACTTTTCTAACCCTGATTGGCAGGACTGTGAGTTGTGTCCCATGTGCAAATTTCCCCCCTACCCTTGCATGGCAGCTAAAGGGAGGAAATGGCTCCTGAAAGGTTTTTCCCCCCAATTTCCATGCCACCATACCTGCATAGTCTTTCCCTTTTCTCTTGCTTTGGATTGATAAAAGCATGGGATTACTACTTGTATCCATGCACTGGTAGGGTAAAGCTGTCCTGTATCTCTTGCCTTACTGAGAATATGTAGGAGTGGAAGTCTCTGAGTCCTTTCCTAGTCCTATTACCTATTAGGGCTGTGCGAAGCTTTGGTCGGTGATTTGATTTGGAGGAGATTCTGCCTGATTCAGTGGCCAAATCTCCAGATCCGAATTGAATCAGGAGACCCATTAATCACTCTGAATTGAATCAGATGCCTCCGAATTGATTTGGAGAGATTCAGAGAGATTCGATGATTCAGCCATAGACACAACTTTATATGTTTTTTTATGTACCTTAAAGTACCAGGCATAGCTCGTGAACGCTGCAGTCGTGGGGCAGATGGAGCATCCCACAGGAGCGTGGGGGGGGGCCCAGGTGGCTTGGTGGTAGACCCAAAAGTGGACCAGAAGTACTTCCGGTCCACTACCGGGTCTGCTGCGAAGCACGCAAGGGACCCCTTCCTCCCACCTCCAGCTCGGCGACTGGTGTCTCATGGGTCTGGGGGGGGCAACCTGCAGCCAATCTCTGAGCTGGGGAGGTGCGGAGGGGTCCTCCACATGCTCAGTGGGGGACCCAGAAGTGGACTGGAAATATTCTATCCGCTCCATCCTCCCCACCATCTCAGCATTCACAAGCTGCACCTGGTGCCTCAAGGTACATGGAAAAAACATATAAAGCTGTGTCTATAGCTGAATTGCTGATTCTCCAAATCAGAATTGAATCTTCAGATTCAGATTTGGCTGAATCAAATCGGGACAGTGATCCAAATCAGCAAATTGAATCGCTGTCCCCTGAATTAGGCTGAATCCAAATCCAAATTGAATACTGCCCTCTTCGCACGCCCCTATTGCTTATGTGTTTGGCCCTGATTTTTTTCTGCACTGAGTCTCCTGTGATAAGAACAAAGATTTAGACAGTAACAGTGACAATAAATCTAATCTGTGTTATTTTTTTTAATGCTAGGGAGGAAAAGTTACATCCGAGATACAAAGTTTCCCCAGGGACTTAAGTCCCTGCCAGACATACAGGTAAAGCTGTGGTGTGATCTCATGCACTATCCACACAATTGTGCTTCCTGCAGCACATGCATGGCACTCTGCCTACATCAGCAGATAGGAAGCTTCTACAACTGGGAGCCTCCTCAGCTCATGGGGCTCCCAGACTCAGGGGCATATCATGTGGTCCTGTGGCTGGGAGCCTCATCAGCTGATCCAGATTCCCAGCTATAGGAGTGCACCATCAGAAAATGGGGCTCCCAGCCACAGAGGCTCACCTGGCCACATATTCCGTTAATGGTGTGAAAGGAACCAGGCTCAGAGTTATTCACATGTTTGT